GGCCACCCCGACCATCATGGAATTGCCACGGCCTCCTCTGGGAGCATGACTACCCCTCTTGTACTATGTCCACCTCCTCTAGCTGTCACAAGTGCTGATCTATCAGACTGTGTGGGGTTCTCAGTCTGTCCCAAAGAAATTCTACGAAGCCKTGAGAATACTTCCTCAAGTGTAGGAAGAGTAGAGCCCCCCAAYRTTTGGGCTCTAACTGGTTCATATTCCGACTTCAACCCCACTAAAAATCTTGTAACATCTAGTTGTTCCCTTTGCTATTGTTGAACTTTAATATCTGGAGTGAGGGGATAATAGACATTGAGATCATTCCTTATATTCTTCATGCAGGCATAGTACTCTTCTAGTGTTTTGGTTCCTTGTTGTAAATCAAAGTACTCCTGATAAAGCTGATATACTCTTGTTGTGTTATCTTGTCCAGAATATAGCTTCTTAGCATGCTCCCATATATCCTTAGCCGTATCAAGGAACATGAAGTTGGCACTAATTTTGGGCTCTATACTATTCCATAGCCAAGTCATGATTTGAGCATCTTCTTGTTCCCAATCATCAAACCCTGGAGAGTCAACCGGTGACTTCTCATCTCTTACATGCTTTACTTTCTTTTTTGCCTTGAAAAAATGTCCACTGATTTAGCCCATGGAACATAGTTCTCCCCATTCAGCTTAATTGAGGTCATTTGTACCCCTAGGTAGTCGGGGGAAATTACCACACTAGGTTTCTGATCATTGTACCTATCTCCTATCGCTGTCATTGTACTCTTTCACAGTTGCCTCTAACCTTACTTCTAAGCTACAAGCCGATTGATGTTGTTCACAGTTTGATACTTCAGCACCTATTGCAGCCCCTAAGCACAACAGTGGGAGCACACACTTGTTATTATTCACACTACTGCTGACTTCACACACCTACGACCCACATAAGCATCAATTTACCACTCACTAATCACAAGTAGGCCCTCTTACAACCACTTAATAAAAAAATTTTGCATCACAAGCACCATAACACAGTCAAATCTGCTACACCCAATTCAGACTTGTTTAACACGCTTAAGAGGGCATTACACAACCACAAAGAGCTCGACAAGGTCACTGCATTCCACCTAACACCACTCGGCCATTTAAAGCAGTCCTAACACCACTCAACAACTCACAGCAGCCCTACACCATTTGGCTACTGCACACACAGCCCTTTCTAGGGCAACAATGAACCTAGTTCTCTAGGTTCCAATCAATACTAACAGCTTCTTGTAGGGTTTCTACCCAGAAATATCAGTAATGCTAGAAAAAGAGATAACCGACCTTCTTTTGAGAATATCAACCAACCATTCATTGCTGAAGTCACTTTCCTTGCTGAAGAAGGTTATGCGCCGCAGAGAGAAACGAGCTGTGATGTTTCTAACCTAGGGCGAACCAGTTCTCTCCATTGACTGACCAGAAACGAAGGAGAAGAGTCACGAACACTGTTGAGGTGCTTTACCAACTGAAGTAGGTCAGGAGCATGGCTTTGATACCATGTTTCGACTGGTGCTACAGTAGTCCGAACCAGGAATAGAAGAAGAAGAAGAAGAAGAGAAGAAGAAGAAGGGTCTGTCAAAAACTGATGGATTACCCATACAGTCGACCCCCTTAATCTATATTAGACTAATAATCTTTACAAAGACAAAAATGCAGAAGAGCAAGAGAGAAAAAATGCTGAGATGGTGCTTATGTGGCACCACCAATAAACGTTTACTGAATAAACATAAACGGAACCAAACACCCTGCAAGTGTTCATGCTACAAGGGTGATTAATTTATCTATTGAGGGGTCAATTTGCCTAAAGGGTACCCCACCTAGAACTCCTGTTGGCCGTCTGCTATACCACCCATGCGCTAAAAAATTTGTGCACCCCATGCATATGTGCATGTATCATATAGATAAAGTACAGGTTTTTTTTTACATGCATGTCAGTGCCTCCCTCTTGAAACTGTGAAATGAAGGCATGTTTATATTCAATTCTTTTCTGTTATTTTGGTCCAGAGTACTCAAATAATATTTTGCCTGTTTCAGGTGGTATCTGAATACAGGAATAGGGGGATGGACTTTATTCTTCAAGCTATTAACCACCCCGCATATTTAGAGGACCTCACAGGACTAACAGAGTTGATGAGGTCTGCAACCTCCTTTAAACTTGATTGGGATAATGAAACTGACAGCGATGATGATATTGCTGAGATATGACTTGCTCTTTTTTCCTCTTGGCAATTGTTCAAAACACAATAGGAAGTCGTCCCCTGTATATTTTCTTTGTAATATTTACAGTTGCCCTTGTAATCAGTTGTAGTGTTGTACAGATCTGCTCCTTATATTAAGCAAAGGCGCCTTCCTCTTTGTTGGAAATTCTGGCGGCATTTTTTTTCCATCCTTTGCCCTCAAAATTCACATTCTATGATTTAGTTCCAGAAGCACTGCCCTACTGAATCTGAAAACTTATGGGATTAGAGGGTTGTGAGATGTCATTAGAAGCATTGCCAAATTCTAGGTGGGGCAGAATTTAGTCTTTTTCTGTTAGTGGTGGTTATCAGAGCTTTTATTCACTTGTTAAGTCTTTGGAAATTGGAATTAGATGTTTCTCATTGAAATAAAGATTCGAAGAGATGCACTAATCAAGAGAGTTGCATGGCCACCATCTGAAGCTCGATAGGTCGAGCTCTATGAAGCATTACCATATAACTTGAATGACCCATGCCAGTGAGCCAGAGGAATTCGGATTTGATCCTCACAGAAATATTCCCAATTCCCAATGCACGGCTACAAGGGGCTGTGAGTACCAAATCTGATTTCGAAACAGAGACCCCAGACCCACTGCCGCAGTATCTGTAGTTCTATTCAGTAGTTCGATAAACAAAACCAATAGTTAACATTTCTCTTTTAAAGGCTTCTTTCCGGCTACCGCTATTAACAATTTAACATGGAATACCACGTGGTATTAAATCTTCTATTTATAGAAGAATAGGAAGACTTGAATGGAAAAGTCGTCAATTGCTGGTGAGATAATAGACCGTTGGGTTTCGTAAACCGTTAATGAGCATGGATTAACCTCTCGGACCATGTTGTTTCTAGGCTGCTGCCCATACGGAAAAGCCCAAGGCCGCAGCCACTCAGCCAGATTTGGTTGCTAACTTGCTATTGGTCCGGTTTGTCGTCTACCAAAATTACTATTATACGAGTTAAACACCTGAAATCAGAAGGATTTTTCACATTTTCGATCACTACATGGAAGCTTTTGAAAGTGATGTTAAATCGTTAATAGAAGAAACTTCTCTTCTTGACAATGGACGTTTCTCGTTGGCTGTTTTTGGTTTGAAAGAAAAGGTAGGACCAGGCCCTGGACTTGGTCTAATTGATCTCTAGTCCAAACAGTTGGGTCTTTGAGTGGCATGATGTATTCTACAGGTGGCATCAAGAAATACTCTACAGATCTCTATTTCTCTTCCGAGTATGTATACACACACACACCAATAACACCAACTGAAAGAGATGCAACTAAATCCAATATAGTTTTCCCAAATCCCAACTATTGGGAAGGTGCAATTTATGTAAAAATATGGAAATTGTTTTTGATCTCCATGAACTGATTAAATTCATCTTGTACAACATGAAGTAGGAGTTCTTCAACTTTACATGGCTCATCAAGTTTGGAAACATGATCAAGGATATACAGGAACAACAAATGCAGCTTGTAGTTAATGGAACATAAATATGCTCTCATAATAAAGAGTTAGCATAGGTTTATTTGATCTCACATATCAAGTGATCTTGGAGAACAACCACTGTTAATCGTGAGCTTGCTTTGTTGAGATCTCCTTACCATGAGAACACAGGTTCCACCATACCTTATCAAGACAAAAGATGAGCAGAACAGGGAGAATTATCAAGAGGCTAAACCATGGAACAAGGCAGAGAGTACAAGAGCATAAAAAGTAAATATTAGTTGAACAACCTCCTACCTCACTGTGCCATCTTTCGTGACATGTTTCAACAAATGTTGGGAAACCAAACTAAACATCCTTTTCTCCCTTCTGCCAAGTAACTGGAGGATGAACCACAGAGTTTGTGACTGCTTCCCCTGCTACACATTCCACCCTTTTGCTTTTGGCAGCCCGGATTTGATCTGCAAGTGAAACTGCTCTTCGCATTTTCTCTCTTCTTATAAACTCAAGATCCAATTTCTCAATAGTTGGATGATGACCATTCACCATATTCCTTTGCATGGAGATTTTAGCATCCATGGACTTCTTTTTGTGAATCTGGTTCCCCACAAACAGGTAATAGTATCAGTAAAACAAAAGATTGGTACATGCATGCATATATTTTTATGAGGGACAGAAAGAACCAAGCATATTAGTTCAAATGAGCTTAATGGCAATAACAACACAACTGGGCAGAGTGCTTAGTAAACAGAAAATATGAAAAGTATCCAGAATATATTGTACCATCTTGTGGCATAGGAGATCAACCATGAAGGATCCATCAAAGATCCCCCACCTTTCGGCATATACAAATTCACTTACTAAGATTTTCAACTTAAATAATTTGGATAAGAAATGTCTCTGTTGACCTAACCTTGGTCAGTCTCTCCTTGAGCTTTAACTCCTTTGAAATAGCCAACTCTTCTTTCTCCTCCTTTGATTTTCTCTGGATCTTTTTTTGTGTTTGTTCTCTAGCCTTTGGCTTCAGATCCCTCTCTTTTCTCTTTTGGGCAAGCCTTTCCATCTTTTCTGCTCTTGCCTTTGCTGCTCTCTCTGCTCTTAGTTTTGCAAGCTCCCTTGCCTTTGCCTTGTCTGCAGCCCACTGAAGCTGCTGGTTAGCCATCTCTGCTTTTATCTTGTCATAGCTATCCCAATCTAGTTCTTGTTGGTCATCTCCACCACTTCTTGCTGCTTCTGCTATGCTTTCTTCCCATTTTAAATAGAATTTCTCTTTTAAACGTGTCCATTTCAAGCGCTTCGCCCAAACCCTTCTCAGTGCACGGCCTATTCTTGCCTTGCTCAACTCACTGCAAGAGAAAATTGAGTATCAGTTCTTCAACCCAAGAATGAAAAGACCCATTTTCACTTCACCAGCCCACTGCTGCCCACCAAAGAAAAAAAAAAGTTCAATGATTTGTTGTCCAAAATCAACTCTCCCAACTTTTTGATTAATAGCCAACCACAATTTTTCCATAGAATATGACACAAGTATTGCTTCTGCTTCTAAAAGTGCACGTCTGGCCCAGTCAGCTGATTTGTTTGCCTAATAGACATAGAAGTGGCTTGATTTGGTTGAGTCATGAATCGACTTAAAGGGTGAAGCAAATTAGGTTGAAGGTCTTCAACTGACCTATCAACATCAGTATTTCAGATCTTTGATGGAGGAGAGCATACCTATGAGCATGTGGATATTCAGACATCTTCTTTCTCACCTGAAAATTATGAAAAAAAAAAACAAATTAGGCTTCCTTTTTCCTTTGGGGGGAGGGAAGAAGCATGAGGCTCAATGCACAAAGGAGCAAGGGATGCTATTTACCAGCTCTGTAATACCTCATACAAGGTGAAGAATAACAAAGTAGAGAACAAGAGTTAAATTTTGTTTGCTGTTTGTCAATTTATCCATTATTTACTTTGATTTACTTTGTTTACTGTCTGGCATTGTAGATTCAGACCATCCATTTTGATAAGGGAACATCCTGAATAAGTTATGTTTATAATATACTAATCCATGCCACCATACTCCCAACTTGTATCAAACTTTTCCCAATAAAAAATATCCCTTAAAGCTTCTTGATTTTTTTTTTCAAATAAGCAAGATTGCAAATGTACACACCTCTTGGCATCTGGCAGTGATTTTTTTATAGAAACATTTTCCATAGGAAAGCGAGTGATATGAAGAAATATGTTGACCCATTATGGGCTGCCACAGCTACCACAATGTGTATAAATTGAGGATAAGCATGATATCATCTTTTTGGTCTAAAACTGTCCTTGAAATAACGGCATGGGCTTGCATAGTCATTTCTACATTCAGGTAGGCAATATTTGTAAGCAGATAAAATAAAAGATAGACCTATTATTTGACATAGTTTCACCTACATCCACCAATAATATTTGTTGAACAACATCGCAGAACCAACTCATTCTTACATGACTTCACCTTAGGATCTCTCAAAGCTTCTATAGTTCTCTGCCTGATCAGCTCACGGGTCTCTGAAAGGAAAAGACAGTACCTCAAGCATTAACAAAATGAACAATTAAACTCTAACATAGGAGCTAGACTATGACTTTACCAGCAGTATGTTTCCGGCCTTTGTTCCATGGTATTCTCCCTTTGTTTGCTAGCCCTATCTTTCTTCTTCTTTGGGTTTCCTTGTGACTTTCATTGTTAATGCTACCTACAGAGGTTGAGTCACTATCAACCTGAATGCCCTCATTGAATATCTTCTTTAATGGCAGGCCTGTATTTGGTTGTGGTAGAAGATGTTTCCCAATCTCAGAAGCCTCTCTTGCACCAAGGCTGAGTTGCAACATTCCAGCAGAGTGCACTCTCTGGGAGTAATTAACAGATGCATATGTGCAATATATGTTCTTCATAAAAGCTGTTTGATTATTTGACTGCATTGCAATTGATGGGTACTGTGCACCCTCCACCAAGTAAGCATGTGGAGGTGGCCCCAACAGACTGTTCAGTACACAATTGAAATGTAAGTTTGGAATCAAAAACCTACTGGCTGAAAAATGCAGAAGTCAGATGCATTTCCATTAATACAAACTATCATCATTTGCTCCAGTGATAAGATAGTAAAAAAGGATATGCCAAACATCTTAAAAACGAAAAAAAAAACAAAACTGCATTTGTAGTAACCTTATCTTTTCAAAAATATGCTTTCTCTTATTTACAGTAATCTTATCTATTCAAAAGGATGTGCAAATGTGTATGCATGCAAATACATGTGTATACACAAGGATAGATATTTTTGTGTGTCCATACACAGTGCATATGCATAAAATAGAATATGTGGTATATATGCATATCACCATAAACATTCCAATTGTTACTATGGCCTCAAGTTGGACAGACTGACACAAGAATCATAAAATTATGAAGCTACTTACATATCAGCAGTAAATTTTCAACATCCAATCATCTTTATGGAGGAAATGAAACTGAAGAGATTCACTGGAACAATATTTTGGCATTTGACAAGTTTACGCGAACACAAGTTGAACAAATAAATATCAAAAGAACTGCTAATCAAATCAGTAACCATAAATTCAATAATTGTTCATTCAGTTGAGTTGTCAATAAAAATGAGATAACTCAAAAAATCATTTCTTTATCAGAAACAGATCCATATAACCCTCCCAAGACCCTAGATATCTGGACCAACATTGGGCGATGGCCTTTTTAAACATCAGTATAATTGTATAAAGGGAAAAGGAAAGTAAAATGATAAATGAAAAGCAGTTCTATGCTACTAGCAGCTAGCAACCTCTAACAAAACGAGCCATATTACCATATTTACAATTTACCTACCCCCAAGTGCAGGTTCCCAATATAGATTGCTCTAGTCAGACACCAAATTTGTTGACCTATGAATCCAGGTATTCAGCCTGAATGCCAGGAACTTTGCATCTCTAATGGTGTAGAGATGCAGCCAAGGAATAGAGAGCTCTTCTCCAATTCAGCCTATCACCATTTGGGAGTTGCCATAAATTTTCAGTAATGAATATAACTTTGGTCGTATTGAAGCTCTATCCCAATTGGACCAAGGTAGATTAGCAATATTTCACCATCTATGTTTCTAATTACTTCCCTAATACCAGATGTTCCTGGATATCCCAAGCTACAATCATCAAAATTGAGTTTTACAAAGCTCACTTGAGGAGGGGACCAAGGAAAAAGAACCGTAGTTTCTTTTAGTTGACTTAGAAGTCACCACATTACACCCCCTCAAAATGTCATTAATGCTAAAGCAGGATAGTTTATACAATCATAAGATCGTGATTATGATAAGTTTAAGCATAGAACACATGAGATGGAGTTGTCAAACATCGAGTTCCACTAGCCTCCATGTATATCACATGCCAACTATGCCATTATATTCACAAATGTAAAGAGGGAACTAAGTTCCCTTACTTCTTCAATTAATTAAATATGCAGATTGAACACGATACTGAAATCCCAGAACCATTTCAACTCACGTCCAATTCTCATCAACTCTGGCTGAGCTTTAATAAAGGAGAATTTCTCTTGTCTAAAATTGGGCGATTTTTTTTTTTTTTTGATAATTTTGACATTAGACGATATCCTATGTCGTTTCTAATTTCTAAACAATTATAATCCACACTAAGTAATCGATCAAAAAAGATAGGCTACCACGAAGAAGATTTTAAGAACCTGGATGGATTAAAGGTACAATTCTACACCCCCAACAATTAGAAAACACATTGCATTGGGTAGTTAAGCAATTCCATTGATGAATCCTGACCATACTCAATTACATTCTTCCACCCCACCAAAAAGGAGAAGGGAAGTAACAGAAACAAGAAAACAAGCCACTGAAATGATGGATTATTCACTAATCTGAAGAAAAGTTTCCCAATGTCTTGAAGAAGTACAGAAAAAAAAAAAAAAAAAAAAAAAAAACTTTTCAGGGCCACCCATTTCAGGAGACGAGTGAGCTCACGAGACTTGTAGCAAATATAACTAAATAAGCAACATCTCCCGAAAATAAAACTTACCCTCGAAAACAAAAACAGAAATCTGAAGCTAAGACGCAGAGAAGGAAGCACTAGACTGTGAAGAGTGAGACGCAGAAACTTACAGGCGAGGGAATGGCAATTCAGGGATGGCTTGATTCACAACATGAAGAGTTGTTTGTAGAGTCATTTGCACACAAACATCAAAGCGAAACTATTCGACGATTTTAACTCCCATTGCTAAGATAATGGCACTCTGTCGAGGATGATGGAATTTTGGAGGAATTCTTTCTGGTGCTTTGTCTTTCGACCAGATAAAAAAAGAAGGCAATGGAAAATCTGGTGTAATTCTTTGGTGTATGATATCCCACCAAAAAAAGATTATGTAAGGGTGAACTGGGTCCATCTTTGAAATATCAGGCGGGTAATCGGATGCAAGTTGTAAAATCCGAATCCGGGACAATCGGATCGGAAGTCGAATTGGGTACCGGGTTTCGGAGTCCGTTGGCAGCCTATTTATAACAACGTCTAGGGTTTTCTTTCTTGTTGTGCGTCTCTGCTCTGCCGATCCCTAAACCCTGTTACGCAGAGAGGAGGAGCGAAGGCGGAAAAATGAAGACCATCTTGTCTTCGGAGACGATGGACATCCCTGATGGGGTGAAGGTCAAGGTGAAGGCGAAGATGATCGAGGTGGAGGGCCCCCGAGGAAAGCTCTGCAGGAACTTCAAGCACCTTAACTTGGATTTCCAGCTCATCAAGGATGAGTCGGGGAAGAGGAAGCTTAAGATCGACGCCTGGTTCGGCTCGAGGAAGACCACCGCGGCCATTCGGACGGCCATCAGCCACGTCGAGAATCTCATCAAGGGCGTCACCAAGGGATACCGATACAAGATGAGATTCGTCTATGCTCACTTCCCCATCAATGCCAGCATCACCAATGGCAGCAAGAGCATCGAGATCCGTAACTTCCTTGGTGAGAAGAAGGTAATACACATTATAACGGGTTAACTCGTCGCCTTCCTCTTTTATTTTTCGTGAGATTCTATTGTCTTTGTGCTCTGTAACTCTATTGTTTGCACTTATTATTAGTATTATTTTCAAATGCACGGAGGTATAATGTTTTTCTTCTTTATTTCCACCTTATTTTCCTTTTTCCATGTCAGTTCTGTAATTTTTCTGCAGCCAAGTGAACATTTTGAAGCCTCGATTTTTGGGGTAGATTGTTTGTTTGTTTCTCTTGAACTAAATGAATAATAAATAATGATTCCTGGTAGTGGAATACTGGTTTTGCATTTTCCATTCTATTTGTTCTTTAAATAATTCTTAAGGCTCAGTTTGGAAGGAGTACAAATACAAATATGGACAGTACAAATACATACAAAATATAAGGTTTTGCACTCTACATATTTGTATTTGTACCCCTTCCAAATCAAGCCTAAAGAGGAAGTTTGCTTAATAAGAGCTATATATGTACTTGATTCTATCGTTCTACTTGATTGATGTAACTCATTTTTCTTGTACCCTTCTGCAATATTTTCTTATAGTTCAGAATTGCCACTTACTTGATGTTGACTCCTTGGTATTATGAGATGGGCATTTTTGTTTTCCCGCACTCTAAGGTGCTTTTGAGTTTTGAAGAACATGGTATTTATTTCATGGGCTTAGAAGAGCAGGATTGAAATGATAAGAATGCTTGTGTTGAGTGTACTAATATCTTTTGCTCTTACACTTGAATTAATGCGTATTATGTGTTATCTATCGGATCAAATGCTTATCAACATGACAACATCAATCTGTTGTTACCAACAATATCGTATCCTATTTACTTGCTGTTGCCGAACTTCAACTAGTTGAATGCATATAATGGGGATAAGGCTCTGTTGAGAAGTGTTGAACCTTGAAATTTTCTACCTTCTTATTTGGTTGATGTTTATCAATCTCATTGTCTAGAAGTCAGAGTTACACCAACAGTAAGAAAGTGTTATTTCTAGTACATATTTAATTTATTAGAATAGAACCTAAACAAAAAAAAGGAATGAAATTGTTAAGATAACAAGTATAACGACTTGCTGATTAGACTGCCCTCAAACATGGAAAAATCCACCTTGCTAATGAGGGTGCAGGTGATAGGATTAAGAATCACATCTTGCTGACTTAGAATACATTGCTATTGGATATTTACTAATCGTTTCTGCTCGAAAATTTCATTCCATCATATGTTTATGTATTATTGTACTGTCTTCAAATAATTGATCAGTTAGGGATATTGATTATTGTTGAGGGTTGCTGTTCTGCATTGCAATTCTCATGAAGGCTTTAAAATTGTACCCATTAGGACAATTGGTTTGATTAGTTATTTGATAGTCAGGGCATGCATTTGTCTTTTATGGTATCAGCATAACCAGTGTATGATTTTTCTTGAAATGTTTAGCTAACGGAAGACATTATTTGCTTGTCAAGGTTTCATTTTGTATGTACCCTTTGTCACTTGGGCCTCAGTTTGGACAAATAAATGTAAAATACAAGGTTTTGCACTTTACGTATTTGTACTTGTACCCCTTCCAAACTGAGCCTTAAGGACAAATACATCCTTCACCTTCTCTATCATTAGGTTCTCGAGGCAGTAGCACTAGTTTTGTTTACATGCCCTTTTGAGACGCAATTATATTTTAGATGAAGGATATCAGTTGATGATGTATATGTTTATGATGCTTCAGGTTCGTAAGGTGGATATGCTTGAAGGTGTAAGCATTGTTAGGTCTGAGAAGGTGAAGGATGAGCTCGTATTGGATGGGAATGATATTGAACTAGTCTCACGGTCAGCTGCCTTGATCAACCAGGTACTTCCTTTTCTCTGTCTGTGTCCATATTTCCCGTCCTCTTTATTTATGTTGATGTGCTGAAACAATTATTTCTGGTTTTTTATAACAGAAATGCCATGTAAAGAACAAGGATATAAGGAAGTTCCTTGATGGTATCTATGTAAGCGAGAAGGGAGCAATTGCTGAAGATGAGTGATTGATTAGCTATAGCTCTTAGTTTCAGTTGATTTTTTTAATGGAGAGGCTGGTTAGTTGTTTTTTCTTTTGGTTGCTCCATAGTCTGTTCCTTCAGTTTATTGAGACACCATCTTCAAATTGTTTGGAGTTTAAAATTTTGTGGAATCAGACTTTAAAATTATATCATGTTCTAGTTGTTTCTTTTAAGTCGTACTCATTGGCATATATAGCTACTTTTACTTCTCTCAGGTTCAGCCTCTAAATGCAATTTGTCATTGGGTTCAGATTTTCTGTAGTTTATTGTGACTAAGCTGATGCTGATCTTTAAGGTGGGTCACGGGTGGCAACCAGGATCGTTGTTGCCATGCTCTCTTACTTCCCCACAGTACAGTGTGATGTTCAAATTCTAGCATCATTCTCTCTGATAAACGCCTGAAGACATTGGGGATTCTTGGTTGGAGGAATTGACTTACCCATTGTAATTTAAAAATTTGCCACATATGTTGATTATCCAAATCCAAATCCTGTGAAAATCCTATTTAGTAAGACTGATTCCTGAAAAATCACTATAGGAATATGAGGAATCAATCCGTCACTATTTCCTGTGGAGATGCTTGAAGTTTCAGGTGATAGTTTTACAGTTTTACTAATCAGTAATGTGATGCAAGTTTTTGTCTAGATTAGTGAATTCCAAACTCTCCAAAATCACTCTTTCTTTGAGAGATGATTTTGTTAAATCGTTCCTTCCAAGTACCTATAAGCACTAAAATAGGGTTTGAAATTATGAATGTAATTTGGTTTACTAAATAAATGCTCCCCGGTTCCCCCTAGTAGAAGTAATTGTTTTAGCTTTTAGGCTTTTAGCCTTTTAGCCTATGGATTTATCACACAATAGCTACTCTCGAAGGCATTACCAAAAAACAAAAGCTACTCTCAAAGGCATCTGTTTTAGATGACTAATACTGATTTAGCGGGTGCTTGCCAGCCACAAAAATGTATGTATGATCTTGTATGAAGACAAGAAGTAAAGAACTGCCACTTCTACCTGTTATGGAAAACCAGAATGATATTAAAATGTTAAATTGTTAGTGTTCAAATATATTAGGTACTGTGTAGAGAATATATTCTACATTTATTTCATTATATGTTGATTAGTTGGATATTTGAAGAAGAAATCTGATCAGTTTCAAGTCGGCTAATTATCCTCAATCCAAACTCAGGAATCAGGATAGAGCTAAATCTCTATTTCAGCCAGGTTACTTTAAGTCTGAGAAGTTTGTCATTTGGAAGAACCAGATAACCATCTTCAAATGCACACATTCCCCTTTTACCTGTGTCTCCGACTCTGCCCACCTAACCTCCTAGATAACTCAACAAAAGTCTGTTTACACCCTGCTTGACGAGTTCACCAAGTTTTGTGTGTCTGAGTATGCCCACCTATGTGTCTCTGAGTATGCCATGGTTATCTGGTTCGAATATTATAAACGTTTATTTGAAAAAATGCTGCTTTAAACATGTATTGGTTTTATTATTTGGCTGGACGTTTTATGGGCGTTTGGGGAAACAGAATTTGAGTTTTTCCTCTATATGTATATAAATGATAAATCCAAGGTTCAAAGTATCGATAGATTTGATATGTATTGGCCTGTATCGGCCAATACGTATCATATACACCCTTCCAGGGGTTTATCGGGTCAGTCATCGGTTCAGAGGGTAGTCGGGCCTTAAACCGACTCCTCTGAAAAAAAATGTACCAACACAGGCAGACGAGTATCAAACTTATAGTAATGACACTTTCAAATTGGGGTATTATAGTCATATGGATATTTTAAAAATTACATGACAGGTCAAGATGGGTAGTATAGTCATGTAGATATTTTGAAAATAACGTGACAGGTCAAGATGGGTCAGAAACACAATAAGCACTTTTTCAAAAAATACTTGAAAAAAAAGGCAAAATTTTGAATTTATTCATAATGGACTCATTTCCTTAAAAGATCACCTATTGGGCTTTTATTTACCAAACGCATAAGTGCTTATTATGTGGTCTCGGTCTCAAATAAGTACTTTTTTTGGGCAAATTACAAAGATCCCCTGTACTATGAGGTCAGTGAAAAATTTCCCCTTGAACTTTCATTTGCAACAAAGACCCTCCTGAACTTTCACTTTGTGGAAAATACCCCCTTCATTAGAGTTTTGTCGGTTAATTTGGAAAAAGATTCTCCTTCATCTATTTTAAATTGTTTAAATCCCTAAATTACCCTTTTCTTATATGTTTGATTGATTTATGTTTCGATTATTTTTTTTCTAAATATAACATTGAAGCCTTCTTGATTGCTCCAATAGATCCTTGTAGATTTTTGGCTAGACTTAATATTCAAATGAAATGGTAAAAGTTTTTTTCTGATAGATATAAATTTGTCGTTTTGTTTGGTTTTTCTTGATTTATTGGAAAAAGAGTGGATAATTTTTATATTTTAAGATGAAGAGAAACATTCATATTAGTGGAATGTGCTAGTGAAATAATTCTTGTTATTTTAATTGGTTTCATTTGGAGAAAATGGAGGTATTTTTGGTTAATTAGGGTTAAAGAGCAGGGAAAATAGAATAAGGAAAGCCTAGGTGGGCAACTTAGTAAGTTAATGTATTCCTTAATGTTCAAGGCATTTTGTTGCAAAGTGAAAGTTCAGGGGGGTCTTTTTGTCCCAAATGAAAGTACATGGGGTATTTGTAATTGACCATATACTATAAAGGGGTCTTTGTAATTTACCCTTTTCCAATCAAAAAACTTGGTTTGGACCTATTTAGCTTACACCATAGCCTTTCGAGTCAATACCAAGTTTTGAACACCCTAGTGATTCATCAAAACCGTCAAAAGAAAATAGCAAAACCTTGACAATCCAAATTGTCCAAATCCGACTTAACTTTATATATGCATGTATAAATATTACATAAATGAGTATTTATGCATGTAAATACTTGTATATGTCTTCATTATTATGTATATGCAATTATGCATCCACAAATGTACATATTCATATATTTATGTATTTTTCACTGCAACTATTTATATATTTATATGTTTATCTAATACTTAAAATTATCTATACATATATGCACAGTGGTGGATCCAGCATCCAGGAGGCCCTTTGATTAGTGGCAAGCATTATCATAACATCAATTGTATTGATACAGCTTTTGATGCCTTTCTTTTTTATCTTTTTTTGCAACCAGTTCAGGGGGGCGGTTTAGGGCTCTTCCACCCCCTGAACCGGTCAGACCCCCGATACACCCACTGGCCAATACGGGCTGATACGTGTCAATACTTTAAACCTTGCTTGCTCATAACATTTTTTTGTAACAAAGATTCATTAAATGAAGCAATAATAATACAAAGAAACTACACAACAAAGCTAAGAGAGTTAAAGCAAAAACCAGTCAGCTAGCCAAGGCATAGCCGAAGTACCCTAACTCTCTCAAACCTTTCCACTCAAGCATATGCGCTAATTGATTTCCTTCCATTTTAACAAAAGAAAATGATTTATTCTCAGGCACAATGATTTATTCTCGGGCCCTTTGTGTTGGAAAACTTAGTAATAACATTTAAGTATTTAAAACAAAAAATTGAAATTAAAATATTTTCACTCTAAACATTTTAAGAGAAATAGATGCATCTCACAAATGAATCATCTTTTTTCCTAATTTTATCTAATATTTTCAAGAATATAAGGATCTAAAAACTAAAAAAAAAAAAGAAAGAAAACACTATTCGAAAAACAGCAACAGTTAATTAAGACGGTTTTGCATTAAAAAAAAATAACTTGGGGGTTTCAATTTGTAAAACAATAAGAGAGAGATCCCCTCAAGTGTGTCTCATCCTTAGGAGTCTACTTGGTTCATCTCCTTGATTTTCTCCTTCACAATCTAGCTACCCGCTCCAAGCATCCAACCCTGAAATTGAAAAGAGAACATATGGTTTGAAATATCTTTTAGTTTTCAAGGCAATACTTGTCTGTTGTCATATTGAAAAAAAAATGAGGATATAAGAATCATTTCACTTCTCGTTATTTCAGTTTCAGATTTTAAGTAGGTCCTAAGGGTAATTGTGAAAAAAGAAATAATTTTTTTATTCTATTTAAAAAATTTTCAAATCTCGGTGGGGGCAATTACCCACATTGACATATATGTAAATCCGCCCATGTGTATGCATGTATATTGTATGTCAACAATTTTTCCTAAAACATGACAATGGTGATCTTTCTATACATAATAATGTTAATATTAAATAAACATAAATTCCCTAGAGTATAAGAAATAAATACATTTGGGGGATTGTTAGACATAGAGAAGTTAGACCGACCTGACATTAACCGGAATCCAACGTGAAGTTTTAGAGTTGGGGGAGGGGGGTCAGCGGTCAGCCCAACACGACCCACGGCCCAAGCCTGTGTGGGTCCGTACCATGTTGCGGGCCTGGGTCGGGTGGGCTGAGGTCGTGTTGGGCTGGGCCATAGACTGGGTCTTGGGTGTGGGTCGAATTGGGCCAGACTTTTTTTTTTACATTTTTTTTTATTTTTTTTGTTAAGTAAAACTAAAATATTTAATTTTCCTTTGGAAACTATTTGAAAAAATAAGAAATCTAACAGAGAAATGAAAAAAAAAAATACTTAACTAAATAAGAAGTTAAATAGACAAAGACTCAAAGTAAATAACAAATTAGAAGAAAAATATGAATTTTATTTCATTTAAATTTGAATGACACAAAACATACAATGGTTGGATGAATGAAATATGAAAATTGGAAAATTAAATAAATTAATAAAAAATACAATATTATTACAAATTGAAAATAAAAAAACACGTTATTAAAAAATATCAAATAAATTAAACAAAATTTACAATAATTTGAAAAAATGCTACATAACTATTGAGTATACAAAAAATATTGACTTCATCATTTTCTCCTATTGTTCTTAACTTTGATGAAAGAATGTATGAGAGACTTAGAAATTAAGACTTGAGAGAATATGACAACTAGAGAAGAAATTAAGAGAATTGCTGAATTGGTGTGATGAGAATGGTGGAAGATAGGGTTATTTATAAGAATTGAAAATAATTCAATTGCCCAAAATGCCCTAAAAACTAGCTACTTTTTAATTGTTGTGAAGGGTATTTTGGTCATTGTAAAACTATTTATCACTTTACCCAAAATGCCCCAAAACTAGTTATTATATAGCTGTTAGGGGCACTTGTGTCATTCTTTCTCCCCCAAAACCAAAATACATAAATACCCTCCACTATATAATTGTTTATAGCTGTTGTGGGGGTATTTCTAAAAAAAAAAACATCACGATAGATGTCGTGCCAGGCCATGGACCTGAAACCCCAGGTCCAATACGGTTCAAACCGTCATGCCATGCTGGTCCAAATTCGGGCCGGGCGGCACGAGATTTACACCTCTAAACCCAGTCCAACTTTCACCCCTAAGAGTGCGGACCCTCTTGGTTCCTTGCGTGCATGGTGCATTGTATAATTTCTATTTGAACTAACCATAGGGACCCACAACAAACGAACTAACTGTATGTATCAATAACGTGTTTACTCTTGATTGGATGACGTTGCCCCTTATGCACGTCTTGTATGGAGCAGATCCGTTATCTTACGTGTGGGATTATAGGGATATACCCTCGTAGATGCTCTTACATGTGTCTAACCTATAATATTAAACTACTCCGTTGTGGAAAAAATAAAATGTCAAAAACACCCTTAACCCCTTGACATGGACACGTGAAAAAATCATGTGTACGCCTACGCCCACAGGCACAGCACTCTCTACACTTGTGTATCCAAAACGTGTACATTTTATAGCGCACATGCGGAAGAATCCTGTTTCAGCGGAGTTAGAATGTTCTGCCAACAAAACACGTTCCAACCATCTACCAACTTAATCTAACACTGTACATCTAAAACCACTGGAAAAGTGGGATCCGCCATGTAGAGGGTTGGGACGTGTTTTGTTGGCGGTTCCAATACCCATCAATTTCATCTGATGGGTCTGATGATGGGATGAGATGTGCGGTGACTGATTTTATTGGTAGGATGTTGGAATGTGTTTGTTAGCGGGAGATCCCAACAATCATCGAGCTGTAGACGGGGACGTACGTGTAGAATATCAGGAAGTCTGGTGAGATAGACTCACAAGACTCCTTCCTCTGCTCTGCTGCATCGCCCCCTCTCCGCGCACACGGAAAGGAAGGAAAGAGACAGTCCTCCCGTGGGTAAACATTTTCCGTCCGCATTTACTGCTGCAACCCAAGCTGCAGGGTTATCTTTGGCCTTTTCCCATCTCCCCCACCCTCTCTCGGAATCTCTCTGGTTTCAAACATGCAGAAAGAACGCGATGGATCATGTGAATTGGACGATCAAGATGGCAAAGAAGAGGAAGACGACACAGAAACAGTTGAGCTTGTGCTGTTTCAAGTCTCTGAATGTTACGTTTACATGGTGAGATTGCGGTTTCTTAGATTTCTGTGTCTTTCTGGATCTGTGAATTGCTTTTATTATGAAATTCTACAGTTTAGATTCATAGAATCAAGGGTTTAATGTCCAATTATCGATCTCTGTTCTGGTGATTCTTTTGCTTATAAGATGCTATAAATGAATTTCTACGCCAAATGCATTTGGAAACAAAAGAACAGGAGGAGTTGGTAAGGGGAAATTATTGTGTGGGATCCAAGCCTTGGAAGTGAGAAATGAATAATTAAGATTGAAAATGGGGATGGGCGCCACAAGTAGCATCTATGGGAATTGGAAAAGAGAAAGGCATCCCCATGACTGAATTTTGTTTATCGAATGCTATATATGTTGGATGTGGCGAGAACTTCGAAAATTTTGATCGAGAAGGAAAAAAACATTCATAAGAAAAGCGTGTGGTTGTCGAAATTATGTGGCATTTAAACAACTGATACTGCGTATCATCTTCTGTATACACCATCAAGTTGGGGGACTTAGAGATTATATTCTTCAGTCTTTTTTGAAAATAAAAAATCTATTTCTTTTCAACTTGTTATGATAACTACCTCTGTATTTCTGCATTTTTTTTTAGAATAGATTTATTTGTATTCTCGTAATTCCTCTGAATGTGCTTTATCCCCTCATCATCCGAATTTAAAATTTTTCCAAATTAACGTAGGGGGGGGGGGGTTCAACTAGGATTACTGATTAGTTTTGGAAAGTAATCTCTGAATCCAAACAATATATTTCCAATAATTATTGATGTAGCTTGATACCTGGCTTCTCAGATCATTGTATGACAACATTTCATTTGTAATCTTTTTCGTCATTTCATAAGTTTATCCATACAGATTTGCAATATCTTTTTTTTTTTTTTTTCTCTTGTAAGGAAAGGAATATTTTCTGTTTATTATTTGGTTCTTTTCATATCATCCTTCTAGAATTAGAAAAAAATTAATCTCTTTCTCTCAGAGTTGACCTTATATCTAAGTGTTATCTATGATTTATCAAGACAATGGCTTTGTATGTTTTCACTATTAATTACAAATTGCAATCATGCATTGTATTAGTTTATAAAACAATACGATATGTTTATTTTGTTAGTCTCACTTTTAATTTACAGTGTAAGGAAATTTTATATTACAGTATAGTATGCTACGTTGACAAGCCAGCTCTGTTAAATGCTTAGATGAGCCCAACTCGTTATTCATCTTGCCTCTATTGTTTCTTATGTCAAGCGCGCCACTGTTCTAACTTGTCCTGATGATGCAGATACCTCCAAGGATAAGCGCAGCTTCTTACAGGTTATTCTCTTAATATCTCAGTTCTTTCTTATTTTAGGATCAAGATGATCATTTACTCAACTTGTGATTAGTAATCTCATTGAGATAAAGCCACTGTGTACTTTCATGTAATGACCACATTTCAAAACGCACTCCTGCTGTTTATATCTTGCAAGTACTGAAGGAAGTCATGTTCATTTTCACTAGACAGATTGGTTCTGTATCCCTGTATGGTGACACTAGATGCAAGACAAAGTGTCTCTAATGCAGTTGATGTAAAGAGAGCAGCTTTACAATTGATTTAGCTATATAATCTACCAACCTCTGTAGAAATGAAAAATTATGTATATTAAAAAATAATAATTTGAATTTTTGTATACTTCCTTCTCTTTTAACTTTTGATGAATTTCCTTTCATTATCAAGAAGAAAAGTAGAAAGTGTGCAGTGGACCCCTGTTGTCTGATGTACTGGGCCCTCCTTTTCCTAGGCCTGTTAGTTTCTTCCTCTGTATCAAAAATAAAAAATAAAAAAAATCTCTTCCTCTGGATCAATTTATCATTGAAAACGCAGGTTTGAGTCTGAAGCAGCTACTTTGTGCAAAAAAGGCCAAAAGTTAGGTTCCTTATACAGTCCACCCCTCCCAAGACCCAACACAGATGGGACCAACATTGGGTAATGGCCTTTTTTGTGGGGGCAAAATAATCAACATTGTGTAATGGCCCTTTTGAAATTATTCAAGCATGACTGTGAGACTTGCATTTTTATATGCAATGAAAGGAGACACTTAATGAACAATAAAAGGAACATCAAAAGGTGTAATTGGAAGGAGAGCACACAAGTTCATTTTGTCACCTTTATGAACTGCATTCCTGATACAAGTTTTCAAAATTTTTATGGCTATGTACATATTACAAAGTGGTAGGAATAAAAGCCTTTTCAATAAAAGGGTATGAAATATTTTAAAGTGAAAAAAAAAACCACCACCTGCACAATGAAATAAATAGTCTATGTGATACCTCACATCACATCTCACTTAACTAATTGAGTTGTATTTTGTATTTTGTTAAAAGATTTATGTCTGCCATCTTTTACTTAGAATTGGAGTACGAAAAGCCTTGGTAATCAGGAACTTGATAATTTTGCTCCAGTGATAAAATTGGTGTGCCATATTGCGTTTTCTTGAGAAAAAGGTAAAGTATTGTATTAAGCTTGAAAAAGCAGTACAAGTATCAAGTATGCTCCATGTACAGCCAGAAACTATACAGGGAAGCCACCAAAAAACTTGGCTCTCCCAACTAAATACAAAAAATCAGACTGCGGCAAGAAACAGAGTACTATAATAAAAAAAAAAAATGATGATGTGGGATGTCTTTTAACATATTGTTGGCAGATAACCAAGGATGCAAAATCGCCACAGCCTTAGCTGCTGAAACCTCTAAAAGGGTGAACTTTCCTTCAAAAGTTCTCCCATTCCTCTCTTTCCACAAAGCCCAGCACACAACACGAGGAATGACACTCTAGAGCATCTTACCCCTTCTACTCAAGCCCACCAACTTCCAGGAAGAAAACAACTAAGATAAAGATCTTGGCAAACACCAGTTAACACTCAACAGAGAGCAGAAATGTAGAGCTGTAAAACTGGTCATGTTGGGTTGGCATGGCATGGCCCATGTGCGGCCTGCTGGTCGTCCCGGGCCGTGCCTCCCTCCCCTAGGATATTTTGGGGGGTCGGCCCGACATGACCCACAGCCCGAGCCCGTGCGGACCTGTGCCGTGTTGCGGGTCTAGGCCAGGTGGGCTGCAGGCCATGCTGTGGGCTTGGCTGGGCCTTGGGCTTGGACCGAACCAGGCCAAAAAGGCCCAAACTTTTTTTTGTTGTTTTTTTTTGACATTTTGATTTTTTTGCTAAGTAAAACTAAAATACTTAATTTTCCTTTGGAAACAAATTGAAAAAAAAAATCTAACAAAGAAATGAAAAAAATACTTATGAAAATACAAAATGGACAACAAATTGAAAAAAAAATAGAAATTTTATTTCATTTAAAATATAAAAAATTACCCTATTGAAAAAATAGCAAATAATTTAAATAAAATTGAAAAAACTACTCCATCTCCTTAACTTCAATCGTTTGTTTCATCAGGTGTAGTAGTGTCATGCCCTTCTTTGTCTTGTAATTTATCCTCAACATCCGACAAACTTTAAAGTAGATATCTTTTTTCTTGTTTCTCATGGAAGAGCAAATGTTTGCCCAAGTGGCCAGTACCACCCATGCTACTGAAGTTAAAGTCAATCCTGGATTTTTGGAAAACGGCTTTTTTTCCCTTCCCCTCAACCTCCTCTATTTTAAATACTTTCCAAATTGGGCTAGTGAACTTACTATTGGGGAATTGGTTTTGAGAGTTGGAGTTGGCCATTTTTTTTAATTCTAAAAAAATAAAAATTAATTTAATAGTACTTACCCAGATGGTTGGATTACCGGCTTAGAATCTCAACTTGATTTCAACAGTTGAAGCCTCAAAGGTGGAGGATAGGGCTATTTATAGGAATTAACAAATAATTCAATTGGCCAAAATACCCTAAAAACTAGTTGTTTTTTCATTGTTGGGAGGGGTATTTTGGTCATTATAAAGTCATTTATCACTTTACCCAAATGCCCCCAAAGTCCCAAACTAGTTATGTTAATAGCTAATGGAGGGGCATTATTGTCTTTTTCTTCCCCCAAAGCCAAAATACATAAATACCCCCTATATAGCTATTTATAGGCTTGTAGTTGTTGATTGAGGGGTATTTCTATAAAAACCCCCTAAAAAAGCTGAAACTAGCCATTTGGGGGGTCCCCCAAGGCCCTCAACGACTAGTTTTCTCGGACGGGCTGCACTCGACCAGTTGCGGGCCGGGCCGTGCTGTGGGCTGGGCTGTGCTGGCACGTGGGCCGCGAGTGGCACGATATGCACAATCATGCCATGTCGTACTCGTGCCGACCCATGGACCTAAAACCCCCGATCCAACATGGCCCACATGATTGTGCCGTGCCTAGCACGGCCCGCGTGCTGTCGTGCCAGGCCGCAGGTGGCACAGCCTGATTTACAGCTCTACAGAAATGACTGAATAACTTATAAGTTGCATGCCTCATAAACGAAGTGGCGTACCTTGAAAAATATTTCTTTGCAATCTTTGGCTTCTTTCTTCAATAAGTGGTATGCTTTAGTATCATTGCAATCTGTTTCTACCAGCAATCTTGAAGTGTAGTGTTCCACTTGTAGAACATGTAGCTAATGTTCTAGAAGATGGTTACACTTCCAAGGTTTTAACTTTTAACTGCATCAAAAGGTAGCATTGACCAATTAAGACCTCCCTTGGTGATCCATCCATCTTGAATCTTTATCTCTTTACTGATCTAGTAATTGTTGGTGCTGCCTATGAGCTTTCTTATACCAGTCATAAGAAACATGTTGATGTCTTGAACTGAATGAAACTGTAGTGAAAATTCTTTTATTGGTTTGGTTGGACCAATCACCATGCTCTTTGATGCAGATTAGACCCAATAGCTTAGGTTGTGTTTGGTACCATTTCTGTTTCTGCCTGAAACATTTTGGGTTGATCAATATAAATTGGTTAGAGATGTGTTGTCACATCATATATCAGTGTCGCTTCAGCTAGAAAGATTAGATTTCACGAGCAAGTAATGTCAAATACTATAAATATCAATGATCAGTCCAGCACGTGCATTTTTTATGGTATGCCTGTTTCAACTATAAACAACCTCAAATAACAATTGTATGCCAATTTTTATTGATTATTCCAAAACATTTCAGATAGAAGCTGCATTTGTACACAACTGTGGAGTTTGATAGGATGTAAGATAAATTTCCAAATATGTATGAGAGTAATAGGTGAAGTTGCATAGAAGGCAATATAACCTTTTTTATGTATGCATGGAAAGTGATATAATTTATAATCACTTGAGCAGTTTGGGATAAAATTACTTGATGTTACATAGGAGGATTGTTAACTCCATATGCAGCATACAAAAGTGTGCAAGAACAGAAAATTGATTCCAAAATGCCATGCCTAACTCGCACATCTCACTGTATTTTGTAGAATTCAGAAGTAGCCCAAGAGACATATTGGACAATTTGCACTTGATTTCTTTAACTTTAAACTCTGTGTGGACAATTTTCTTGGAAGACAACATTTTCCAGACAAGAGTGCACTACAAAGCATACTTGTTCTGATAATTAAGAGTTCATATTTGCTAAAGTACTATGTAAGTGAATTCCTGAGATTTAATAAAAACAATCGACTAATTGTACAAGTTTCCAAGACTGATCAATTATCTGAGCAACCATCATTTTTATGGCTTAACTAAGCATGATGAAGAATCAAATATTGATTCATCCAATAAAGAAAGTTCAATGCCACATAAATGTGCCATGTGCATGCATGATGACATGTGGCTTGAGAGTTGCATCACCCATTCTAGCTGGAAAGAGATGCTGGGATCATGTGGAACTCTCAGAGATGCTTTAGTAAAATGGTAGTCTCATAGAACAATTTACCTTAATGATGTGTGTTGTTGCATGCAATTCTTCGTTTATTCTCATTCCTGAACTGTAGGTCATTAAAAGAAGCATCGAAAACATCTTGATGATAACTTGGCAAGATAGATTACATGGTTCTGACCCTTAAGATACTGATGAATGCTTAAAAGATTCCAAGAACAGGTCATGGGCTGCTAAAATCTGCATTCATGTTGTAAATGGACCTATAACCACATTATAAAATTTGTGAAGCCCCCCAGTTATTGAGAGGAATAAATAGGAAAACCACTCATGAACTTATTGTAGAGATGCAGATGATATATGTATTGTCCCTAGGGCTCTCCAGAGTGCCTCATCCATGTAGTTGGGAGGATGCCCATGAACACAAATACCTAACACCCTATCTTTTGTTAATTTTAGGTAGGTGTCCATCAAGTTGTGGGCCTTGTGGCTTTCCAAACGTCAGCTATGCTTGATTTCATCCATAGCTGTTTCTCATCTCTGACATCCCTTTTTCACTTTATTCTGTCTTTCTGCATGCCAAATACAGACTGTGATCTTAGATGCATTTAGATGCAAAGTTCATGAAGTCCACCATATCTTTTTCTTTTCTTTCTTTCTCTTGAAAACAGTAAGGTATTGTATTGTATTTGAAGATCTAAATCAATATATATTAGCCCAATTGCATAAAGGAGCTGTATATTGGGAATATACAGATATGAATCAAAATACCATATCCTTTTCTTTTACCATTTGAAATGAAGATAATGAACTCCGAAGTCTACTCTTAGGGCTGATGAATGGAATGTCAACAAATGGGCATGGGAAGGGACATTGAAAGTCATCAGCAAAGGAGAGGAGTGCATTATCAAGCTTGAAGATAAGACTACAGGTGAGACATTCTTCTGGAAGAAAATAATGTGGTGTATTCCTTTATATTGTTTATGTTATTTATTTGAATTATTCATAGCAGGAGACCTTTTTGTTCGATATATTCCTTAAAATTTTTGTTACATTCTTTAGGTTAACTATTTTAATTATTCAAAGCAGGAGAACTTTATGCTCGAGCATTTTTGAGAGAAGGGGAACCACATCCAGTGGAACCTGTAATTGACAGCAGCAGGTTAGGTTCATTCATTTGTTAAGCAAGCTCTGTGTTTGTTTATATATTACCTATTACAAGCTATGATACATGGATAAGTCCATGTGAGTGTCATATCATGTCAGATACTTCATTTTTAGTATAAATTTTGTCTCCAACACTTCATTCATCAACGCCTTTTCCATGGCTGGGTATCATAGCTTATGAGTTTTCTGGTGTCACATAATTTCGTCTTATGAGCTTAATACTTTTGAATCTCTTTCTTTAGCTTGAAATTGTTAGTCTTTATGTTTACCTGCAGAGCATCTAAACTTTTCTTTGTTGTTTCTTCAGATACTTTGTTCTTCGGATAGAAGAGAGTATAGGTAAGCTATGATCCTTTCCAGTTTTATGACAATTTTTATTTTGAATACTTTTGCTGGACTTGGATCAGAGCACACAATTATAACAATCCTACTGGGAGCAGGTGGCCAAAACAATTCTTGGGATGCCTGATTAATGTTGATGTGGTCAGAGTTACTCCAAATATATGCATTAGTAGTGCTTATAGTCTATAAAATATACTGTCTTAGATTATTTGTTTGAGTGAGCTAGGTGGTTGACTGGACAGTCAAACATTTGACCATGACTCGATAGCCAAAATGATTTTATGTTTGGTCCAAGGTTGACAAATTTGATTTTGACTAAGCAATTTTTGTATCTCTTTTACTTTTTAAACTTATTATTTGAGTAACCATCTGATTCTATAAACATTTATTTAAACCCTGTCAAGAATTATACACTCTGCTATAATTGGGTCTAATTACTCTTATCCATCCATGGTAGGTGATCTAATAAAGGCCTCAACGAATAGATGCAGAAAATCAAGAATTTGTATTTCTAAATGTGAAAATAAGCATTGGTTATTGAAGGAATATAGTTTAATGGAACAGTAGTTGAATTTGAAGTCCAAATTACAATTTTTCTCAATATATAATATGCTTGTAGTTGTTGTTGTTGTGGTGATACTGTTGCATACATGAGCTGAACAAGGGTGAGGATGGGCTATAAGACATTGTAATAAATCCATAGTTTTAGTAGATTCTATGTAATATATTATGACATGTATAATACAGATTTACTAGAGAGAGAAATGTCTTTTTCTATGGTGATTGGTTTAGGTTTGCTATATTCTGAATTATCTGTTGGTGTATTTAGAAAGAGAGGGATTCCAAAATTTGTGTGGATGCTAGTAGTCTTATCATCAATTGGAGCTTGATTCATAAAGATTAAAGCGAGCTTGTTACAAAGAATGGCAAAAGATTAGAAATGCAAAAAACTTCAAAAAATATGAAACAATAAGAAAGAAAGTTAATAAGTAATAGAAATTAAATTTAGGTCATCTGATGAGCTTTATCATAAATTAGGCACTAAAGATAAAGAAAAAGGAATTTACAAACTAGCAAAGATAAGAGAAAGGAAATGTAGAGATTTAAATAAAACAAAAGTGGAAAGACTTTTGAAAAATTATTAAATGAACACAACATGTAGAGGATGCTAATGGAGGAGAGACTAGTAACACTAATAGTGTTAAAAATAACATGTACCTTCATAAAATTAGAAGTAGTGAAATGAAAGAGTCACTAAATAAGATGAAAAGAGAAAGACATTAGGACTAGATATGAATCCAATAGAAGTGTGGAACAAGGTTCAAATTTTTGTTACATATTAGGGTGTATTGGCCATCAGGTGTATCGTATTATTTCGGTAGCACCCCGATACACTTAAATAAAAGGTATTTTGGATTCGGGAAATTTCAGGGGGGGTTATCAGGCCAAAGACCGACCCCTTCAGGACTTTTGAAAAAAAAATATGCGTGCCTTGCAAACACCTGATACACAAGGGTTGTGCATATCAGGTGTATCGATATTTAAAACCTTGGTGTGGAAAGGTATGGAGAAAGAGGAGTATGGTACCTATATTTAACAACAAAGGCGATATACAAAGTTGTAATAACTATCAAGGGATCAAACATGTGAGCCACATTATGAAACTTTGGGAATGAATATTTTAGCAAAGAGTACGACATGAAACAAGTATATTGGAGAACCAATTTGTGTTTATGCTAGGGAGATCAACCATGGAAGCTATCTTTCTTTTGAGATGATTGACACAATACTCATTGATCAAAAAAAAAAGAAAGAAAGAAAGAAAGATCTTCATACAATATTCATTGATCTAGAGAAAGTTTGTGATAGAATTCTTGAGGAATGATATTGTGGGTCTTGGAAAAGAAAGGGGTTCTAAATAGGTACATAGAACTAGTATGAGGGTGCAACAACTAATGTTAGAACACTTGTGGGAGAAATATCAAATTTTATAGTTACAATGGGTCTTCACCGTCAACCAAAAAAAGGGTCTTCACCTAGGCTCAGCACTTGGCCCTTATTTATTTGCATTGGTAAAAGATGAATTGACTAAACATATTCAAGACGAGGTCCCTTGGTGCATGTTGTTTGCTGGTGACATTGTTTTAATTGATGAAACTAATAAAGGATCAAATGCAAAATTAAGCTTATAGACAGATGCTTAAAGTAAGTAGGACTAAAACGGAATATATGATCTGTAATAGGAGTGCAATCAAGAGATAAATCAAGGTGACCTTTTTCCAGTACCTTGGTTTGATGATCATAACCAGGAGAGATTGAAGAGGATGTTGTCCATATAATTAGAGCAGGATGGGAAAAATGGAGGGGTGCATCTAGAGTTTTATGTAATAGACAAATGCCACTTGGATTAAAAGGAAAATTCTATAAAACAATTGTAAGGCCAGCTATATTATATGGAGCAAAGTGTTGGGCAGTCAAGAAGCAACATGTCCAAAAAATGAGTATGACAGAAATGCATATGTTGTGTTTATGTGTAAGCACAACCAATATTGAGTAATGACTTTTTATTATATTATAGTTTTGCATAGAATGTTTTATACTATATTAAGTATTAATATATATTTTTATTAGGGGTGCAACCTGCAATTTGGACGGGTTAGGGTTTGAGTTTTGTCAAAATTTGAATGGGCCCAAGCCCGAAGAAGTGTAAAATGTTAACTCGGGCCAACCCGAGTTGCACCTCTAATTTTTATGCATGAAAAAGTATAACATATTTTAAATATTTAATATTGATAGGCCTGGAAGCTTGGGGCTGGGTTTGGACCTAGATTAAGCCTCTTCTATTAGGTGCTAACCCCAGCTTGACCAATGATCACCCTTTTTTGTAAAGTGTTGCAGGTTATGATACCAGATACCTGTATAACAGTGTTATATCATGTCAGGTACTTAAATCTTAAGTGTACCTTATCTAAGCCTTGTCCCACCGTTTCCCTGCCATATGTAGGTAATAGGTCGTAGACTATACCGTAAATGATCTTTTCATATATTTTTATGCACTATATAATAATATATTTTGACTACTTGTAAAAATTTATGGACAAGTCGAAGGCTCCTCTAGACAATTTTATGGGTTCTGAATCCCCCAGATCCAAGCTGTTGCCTTTCCAAAATCCAATGTCCATTCAGATTGAATTTATAATAAATCAGTCATTTTCTAAAAGTAATATGTATGTAAACTTAGATATCATTACAAGCCAGGAAACCATCATGGTAAACACTAGTAGTATGGTAACTTCAGTTGGATCATGATATCTGTTTTAGCCTTTAGTGTGCCATAACACCCCCTTCTGTTTATTTCTTTCCTTCATGCCTCTTCTCTTTCAGAGCCGATTCTTTATGCAAAATCTGATGCTCATGCATCTGTGATCTATGTAGGTGGTCGTCTACGGCATGCTTTTATTGGTATTGGGTTTAGAGAAAGGCCACAAGCATATGACTTCCAAGCTGCGCTTCATGACCACATGAAGTATCCTTGCATCTGGTTTCTTTGTTTTTTTTTCATTTTTCATTCAGTCTATGTGTTGTTCAAAATACTGGTAGTATATATGAATCGTATGTTTTATTTGACATGCAAATATGAACTTAAGAGCAGTGCAACCTGTGACAGTTGTTTCTTCTTAAATGTTTGAAAGATATCTGAACAAAAAGAAAACCGCTGAAGAGATGGAGCAACATTACCAAAGCACTTCATCAGTTGATTACAGTCTGAAAGAAGGGGAAACTCTAGTACTTAAAATAAAGAATGTGAGATCTTTTGCAACCATATATAACCTGTGTAATGTTTCTGTGGAATAAAATCATATATTGGTGCAAATTTGATGATAACAGTATGAATTCTGTATTGCAGAAGAAAGGAAGCCGCAGAGTTAGGTCTGCTTTTTTTGATCAGGGCCTCAACAATCTCTCATTAGATGACAAAACAAATAAGAAAGATCCCATGATCTGTCTTAAGCCACCACCCCCTCCAGCTGCAACGGTTTCACCTGTTAATTCTGAGCAGATGTCTCCAGGAAGTTTGTCATCTAACTTAACCCTTGAAGGAACTACACAGACTGAGTTTATGCATTCTAGAAAGGAACAACCAAATCATCAAAGTCAGATCTCTGAGGACACTGCAGAAGATGACTTTGGTGATTTCCAGGCAGCAGGATAATTTGGTTTATGAGATTCAGTTACTTTTTGAATGCTGAAAGTGTACATTTCAATTTTCTGGGTGATATGCTGGCTTTATTTGATGGCTGAATAATTTGTTTGTGATTAAATGCTTGTTTGTCTGATAATTGTTTCTCTGGGATCACCTCTTAGATTGAGTTCTGTACATTTTTGTAATACAACCAATTTTCCGTTCAAAATTGACAGATCATGTGGAACATAACTCACCTTAAGTCTGTCTTTTATTTTTCAGTACGCATTTCAAAAAACTTTTAAGGAATTTGTGCTAAGCAAGCAAGGGGACATGGACACGAGGACATCTGGTCACGGTTGAAGTGGCTGAATTGAATGATCTATTGTCTGTCTTTCAGTGAATAGGTCGTAGGTTGTGAACTCGATGGCTGAATAGTATGTTGGATACTTGGATTGATTACTATACTCAAAAGATTTATTACCTGACAATTAAATATACAATTGTAAGAGCGGCATCCGCCCAAAAGGAAAAGGGGAGCAACGAGGAGGCCAGTAAAGACAAAGTTGCTTTGATGACATGGCGATGTTTTCATTCAGCGCTTTCGTTTTGTTCATGTGTGTGAGGACACGCAAGCTAGTGAGTGATGCTAGTAGAGTCCAAGTAAGTAGAGCTTCCAATATTCTCCACCCCAATTAAATTGCAAGGCCTTGATTTTGGTATTAAATAAAATATCAACATGATGCTTAAAAGACAAAAATACATCAAAAACATCTGATTTCCATTGCAACGGAAACAAAATTTGCTATAAGCATCAATGAAAATTACATAATATTGAAACCTTGCATTGGATAAAATTGGAGCTAGTCCCTATACATCTAAAAAAACCAAATCTAATGGACTGGAAATAGTTGTAGAAGAAGGGGGAGAGATAACCTATGACTCTTGCTTAATTGACACGACTCACATACTAAATTAGGGTTGAAATTAAATTGGCCTTCATATGGTAATCCAAACTGGGACACAACTTGCCTCACAACTTGCATAACCGGATATCCAAGCTGTTTGTACCACTCACTAACGGAAACCCGTTCATTGACTAAGGCTGAAGGCCAATTCGTACTAATCATACTTCCTGGAAATTGATAGAGGCTGTCTTTACTGGCTCCTCGCAGCAGGATGTTCCCCATATAATCCTTCACAAGAAAATAGTCACCATGAAACTCAAAAAATAAGTTGTTATCACAAGCAAACTTGTGAACAGATAACACATTTTTAGATAATTTCGGCACATGAAAAATATTTTTTAAAGCAAATTGATGAGTAGTAGTGCTAATAACTGAAGAACCAATATTCTTAATTGCCAAACCTGAACCGCTCCTCACTTTAACTTGATCGATTCGTGCATATTCAGACTGAGCCTATAGATTGTCAATGTCAGGTGTCATGTGATGTGTGGCACCACTATCTGGATAACAAGTTGGGTCGAACAATGATTGAGAGGGAGTAGTGCTGTTGTTGTAGGCGGTTGGTTCTGTCTCTTCGTTCTTGTAATTCAAATCATAGCACCGTCGACATTTCACAGCTCCATGTCCCGGTTTATTGCAAAATTGACAAACAATTTGATTGTCGCGCCCTCTACCTCCATTATTTGTATGGTTATCTGAAGAACCACGCCCCCTGCCTCTATCGCAGTCGTTCATGGGAACAGTATATTGATTGTTGTTCTGATTTTTGTTCTTAAAATTAGCAATATTAGCTGCAGGGGGTGTGGAGTCGACAGGAGTAGCAGTCTATTCTAGCCAGCTCTCATGACCAATAAGAATGCCTAAAACATCAACATCAAGGTCCTCTATATCGGAGCTATTAGTAATAGTAGTCACAACAGATTCATATCCAGCTCCTAATTCGGCAAATATGTAGAGAATTAAATCACTCATGTTAATGGGTTCAACAACAATAGAAATGCTATCAGCTATAAACCTACCTTTCCGAACATATTCAAAAATAGTCATACCTCCTTTCTTGAGACTCTAAAGTTGTCTTCTGTACTGATGCAATCTGGAGCAAGAATAATTGGCGAAGGACTTAGCAAGGGCATTCCAAACATCGTGAGACAACCGATGTCCTACTCCTTGTGCAAACACGTTCTCCATGAGAGATGCAACCATCCAATATAGTACCAATTGATCTTTCTCAAATCAATCTGAATACGTTGGATTGAGAATCATCCGATTGCCATCGATCGGATCTGGTATATACTGCAGTGGTGCAGCAATTGATCTATCTATGTACCCCATCAACCAGTTAGTGTAGAGGATCGACAGCAGTTGGGCTTTCCAAAGCAGGTAATTATCATTGCTAAGCTTAATGGGAAGATATTGTATGCCACTATACTAAGTTGAACTCGAACTTGATGTGTTGGTGGTGGCGAAGGCACCTATTGAGTGTTGAAATTCAGCCATGGGAATCGTAGAATACTCTGATACCAAGATAGAGTCGGAGATCTCAAAGAATAATTGGGCACGATGAGAAGAGCATCGACCTTGATCTTATTTATAATGAGAAGAGGTTTACAACAAAAGGAACTCCATCTTGATAGAGTTTTACAGAGATAGCAATTAGGAGAGTGCATCTCATTAGGATAACAATTATCCTCAAGGATTCGAGGATAATTGTTATCCTAAAGATAGATATCTAGTCGAGTTAGGAGATAGAGATAGGTGGTGTATCTCCAATAAAGAGTTTTGTGGAGTAGGTAAGGAACCAAGGAGGAAAAGCCTAGTACATGCTTGGTGCTCGGTGAGGAGATAAAGAGAGACAAAGATTGGAGAAACCATTTCATATTTATGTTTTAAATAAACAATAGAAATCTCTTAAATTACTTCTAGTTTTGGAGAGAACAAACTTACAAAAGCGAATCAATCAAACAAGAAAGAAAAGGACTTCGCAGGGAAAACAACAAACGGATGGTAGAGAGCACATGCAGCAGCAAAAATGTTGTTTAATAATGGGTTTCTAGCAGATAAGAGCAACTTTTTGCCCTTAATATCAATAAAAATAATATTTTTATATAATAACTAAAATAGGGCAACATTTTTGGGAAAATATCAATAAAGGGCATTGTTGCTCGTCTTCCTCCTCTGCCTCTGTATTCATGCAAATGGATCATAAGATTCTAGCCATGTTATAACCAGAAATGTTCTTTGCATCCCAGAAAGCAAATCGACAGCCGCATTCAAGTCTTTGGCTTGTTTGGCGATCTCCGACAATGTGTATAAGGGATTCGCTATTGTGTTTGTGGCACCACATTAAGACGCGTCGAGGAAGGTGGAGACGAACTCGGGTGAGTTAGGCAGTAGAAGCATAATCACTTGACCTGTAAATGAATTTCATTTGCTTCGTTGCAGTCTCCACCAGAGCAGCTGGAGCCATTATAATTACAAAAATAAGTTTCACAGGGAGAGAGAGAGAGAGAGAGAGAGAGATTTGGTTTAAGGTTGGTTGGGATCCTAAGTTGTTCACATCACTTTGACTAAAGAAGCAAGAAGACATTCCACTGTGCCACTTACGATTTTACCTAACATGATTTCCACTGTGCCTCCCTTACTGAGCCACTTGCCAACTGAAGCCCAAGCCCAATTAATAGTTGATAGCTAAACCAAGCCCAACTTGGCAACTTCCCATGACATGTGAGCTCAATTTTGTTGGTTACTTGGTTTGAATGGAGTTTCCCAAAAGTATGGGCCCCATATTATGAAAACGTTCGAACCCTTTTGTTCTAAGAATGAAAGTTGAAATTTTTTATCCAAGTGTTGTTGGGTAGCGTGGATTTCACCTTATTATTAAATGAATCCCACGCGTTACATCAATCTTCACTTTAGGGCCAGCTCCACAAAACAATAGTTTGTTTTATTGCCATGTGAAACAATGATTCGAGGTATCGACAATGTACTCTAGAGTTTTAGAAGTTAGAAACAAAATGTGTGATCCACAAATTCCAATTTCTAAAAAACCAAGGAATTGGTATCAGTTAATGTTGATGAATGAACCCTAAACCAGTTAGTGGCATCCACCTGAGTGATTGCATGTGTTGTATGCACATACGGATTCAATCAGTACTAAATAATGCTTTTATATAAAGTTATTAGTGGGCCCTTGGTTAGGGGATGTCAGTGGATCGGGTTTGGGTTGGAGCCATTTGAATCAAAATCAATTCGGTTGAATTGATATCCCGAGGCGTCCATTGACATAAGATAAGAGTACATGTGTAAACCAGACAATGTACTGGATCAATCCAAAATGGCTCAAAGTATCCATGGACTCATACCGAATAAGATCTGATTGGACCAGTATCCAATCTATTGACAGCCCTACTTGGTTCCATGGATAATGTAGCAAAGTAACCATATACTTGTAAGGAGAAAAGTAATGAGATAGCAATTGTCAAAACTTAGAATGTTAGCAACAAATGAGAGTTATGATCAATCCAAATGTACAATCAAAATCCCCAATGTGGCATCTGAAAAGTGAAAAACCCACATAAAGAAATAGCACTATGAACTGTAAAAATGAAATTAGAGACTAGAAAGTAAGAATACTTTTTTCCTTCACATGCATATTAGAAACTCTTGTCCATGGAAGTGCATGCATGAAGAGGTAAAAGCCTCTTCCCAATTGGGATAGAGACAATAATGTTAGGTTTTTTGGTACAAATAGTGGTCTGATTGTAGTACCTATTGTTTGTGGAGAAAAGAGCATCTATTATTCTATCCATGCCTAAACCCATGGTTTTTAAAATGCCGTTGACTCGGACGGTTGCACCATTCAGCCTAGGAACCGTTTAGGCAACCGATTCCATTTTACCCCAAACCCAGTCTCTGGCTAAAAACCATTGAATCAGTCAACGACCCATTGACCCGGGTGATCAAATTATCAACCTGTTGATCCATTCAACGATTTTTGGCCATTTTTATTTTTAATTATTTTTTTGTCAAAATGGATCGTCCATTCGAACAGGATGATTGAACCATTGACTCGGAAACCGTGGCCATAACAATTTCATTTTTGGGTTGTTTTTTAAAACCATGCCTAAACCTACTTAATTGATTGGGGGCAATCATTTATGTGCATGGTCCATTGTAGAGATTAAATAACCCAAACAATTAACCTACCTATGTTTGGATTTATCTCTTCTTTTGTTTGTTTTCGTTCTTTTTGTTTTTTGATGTTATGAGTTATCTATCATGGTTCAAACAGGGTTAAAGTTGAATTAAGTTGA